TCATTTCTGCAGCAAAATCCTCGCATTGTGATTTTCATCGTTTGCATGGAGAGTGATGATCAGTTGACAGCTCTACATTTTTTTTAAAGCATAATTTAGTAATCGATGCGTTCATCAATTCGACGATCTGTTTTTGTACACAATCTTCCATGTGCCAGTTGTAATTATGCACAATAAGATGCCCGAAGAAGGAGTTCATACCAGACAGCCGACTGTTTACACCAAACCGATGCAACTTCCTGCCGTTGTTGGGGTTGGTGTCGCTAGGGTAGTTCTTTCCAATTATGTCATTCCAGTTTTCAGAACATGCTCCAACATGCTTATTGTAATCGTCCTTTAAAATGACGGATTCTGTAGCCGGCACTTTGCACAGGGCATTGTGTACTTCATCCGCGAAGGACTCATATTCTTCTTCCAAACTGTGAGTGAAGACTTGCAAAAATGTCAAAGATATAGCCTACTGTAACTTCAGTCAGAGGATTGCCACTCTTCCGCAGGCAGGCTTCCATTCAATGGTTCTATCAGACAGCCTGGGTTCTATCAGAACACCGGCAGGGGCTAAAACGCGTGTCATGACGTCGACACTTGAGTAGAATAGCTTCCATCTACACAGGTTCAGAATTTCAGTACCGTGGCGTTTCGTTGGCAAGAGGGCAACTATAATGAGTAAGCACCTTGTAGTCTCATCAACTAGTTCCACCTCTTTCGCTCTAAGTCAGAAGATATTTCAATGTACGACTGTGAGTTCCCCCTGTCGGTATCGTTCCCATGGAACCTTCTTCGACTGTCTGTAATGAGAGTGTGCTGTCTGCCTCCGCCGTTCAGGATGGATGCTGGATCCTTTGCTGACTGGTATGCTTGTTGTATGACTGGTATGTTCTTCTTATTGATCTTCGGCAGCGATCGCCACGGCCCAGCTGCAAGATGACGAGAAGCAAGTTCTGGTCCAAGACTTTTCGTAGTTTCCCTCAGTTCCTCAACGAGTTTATAAGCACGCGCCGTGAATGAGCTGACATAACGTTCGATTGCGACGTCACGATGAACGACAGGTGGGTAGATTTTACGCAAGACGTCGCCACAGTCCCCAACCTCCCTCTTTTTCCATTTCGGTGTGAGACCAGCAACGGCGGAGTCATGTGAAACGTTTTCTGTCATTTT